TTTAAAACAGACTTAACTACGTTAAGCCCTAATTGTAACCGTTTTTCACCTTTAGCGAGCCTTCATTACATTTCAATAAGATTCATACCTTCAGATTATTGGGAGTGTAAATGAACTTCACTATGAGGATTGCAGAAAGCTGAAGCTGTGGCCCTTCTCTGCCCGTTTTCAATTGCTTGGAATGAAGCGTATTCTGAAAATGCAGGATTTTCAATGACTCATTTTATYCCGAATGTTTAGGGACAGCTCCCTGGATGTGGGCTGGAGCGTTGGTCACTAGGCACTGCTGAAAAGATAAAAACTTGGCTCATAGCTGGGGAAAGCACATCCCTAGAGAAAGGCTAGAGCTTTAGGCAACAGCCCTTCTCCGTGTCACTGAAAACATAAGACAGGGACTAATTCTACAAACTCCACAGACAGCAGGGTTTTTTTTTGTTGTTTTTTTTTGTTTTGTTTTTTTTTTTTTAGCTTTAGCTGGATCAGATTTATTAAGCAAAATATGAGGATGAAAGGTGTGATGAGCAGAGTTTTGTGGGAGCAGAGTTTTGTGGAGAAACACTCATAAAGAAGAGATGGGGTAGCTGAAGAGGCTTGTCACCTTTTGCTTAGATCGGTGGTGTGTTTGGATGCTTTGGAGTTGGCACTTAGTGGGACACAAGGCCAGTGCTTTTGCAATTCCTCACATAGGAAAAAAACARGAGGCATTTGTCTTTCTCTGCCTTGCTTAGTGGAATATCTTTCACTTCCTCAGAGACTTAAGGACCACAAACTCAGTTCTCTTCCTGGCTTAAATCACTTGGGAGAATTATAACTGTTTCACTTCTGATCTGGATGTCTGAGGTCAATGAGAAGGAAAGAAAAATGGTCCTAAATTTGGTGCTGAGGGTGTGATGCAYCATTTGTCTTCTATGAAAAGGCTTGCCTAGTGATTCGACATCATCCACAAACTGCACTTTACCTATGTGGCTTAGCAACATTTCCTCAGGAAGGCTAAAAGGTTGAATGAGGCTGGAAAGTGAATCCAAATTTACCCCTGGACACTTTACCTGTTGGTAGTGCAGGGTTAGGAAGGTTTCTGTATTGCTTGATGTGTGAATAGTTATTGGTGTACAGATAAACAGAAGTCTCTCCAACACTCCTGACAATGTTTTGGATAAAAATCCACCAATTGCTGAATTTTCAAGCCCTGAAATGTAATTGCAGGCAGGGGATTTACCTCAAAATGCCTATTCTCTGTTCACTCAGACCAAGTTAATTTACTAGGAGAAATCACCCTGCAATTTATAAAAGGAAAACACTCAATTTATATTTCTAACTCTTTATTTAAACTGTGAATTACATACAACTGGGTGGTGTCCAGTAACACACGGAGAAACTAAACTGAATTGATTTGTAATGACCTAAAAACTGAGTAAAACATTTAATTCTCAGTGTATTTGTATTGCTGTGCTTGGCTGGAAAAGTCCCTGAAATCTGTGTAAAGTCACTCAGGTCCCTATAAAGTTCTAGGACTACCCTGGATCTGGGCAGTGTTGCATGGAAGCCAAAGGCAAACTCCTCTGCCCTTACCAAGAAAACACAGACTTGAGCAGCTCTGAGGAACAAGCATGGATAATTGAGTAACAAAGAACTTTTCAATCCCACTGGTTTTGTCATGTTTCTGAGAAAATGCCAAAAAAAAAAAAAAAGGGTTACGTTAATTCCGATTGCTCAATGCCTCCTTTATTGTGCTTGTGCAATACTGAACACTGGTTTAGTAGGAATARCAGGTGATAAATACAGGTTTAAGAGAATGATACTTCCTTGAAGAGAAGGAGTCTAATTTTCCCTTCCCAAGCAAAATGATCATATGAAAATGTCTTATATAAAATTAATTGTTTCTGGGTCTGGAAGGCTCTCCAAAAAATTCAAGCACAGATACCATAAACTGGTGTTGATAGCCGGTTTTTGCATTCTGCTAGAGGGAAAATACTGGATTTCAAGGGTTTAACAACCAAAGCATTTTATTTTCATCTGTGTTCAACAAGATTGAATGTAGAAACCCCAACAACTCTAACAAAATCAGTGCCTAAATTCCCATTAATTTCATTTGAACCAGAGTTTCACATTATGCTTTCTAAATGGTTTGGTATTTATTATTGTTATTGCTTTAAACTCTTTCCCTCTTTATTTATGTATGTATATGTGTTTCCTAGGGAAAGAAGTCATTACTGTGAAATATTGCAGTATTYATTTCATGTTTATAATTTATTATCCAAATGAAATTTGTTCCAATTATGTAATTCATGTCTTGGTAAGAAAAACCATATGTAACTGTCAAGAGAAAGAGGAGAGGGGAAGCAGTGGGAGAAGTAAGATCTGTTTGCTTTTTCATCTATGCTTTGACAGTTTGAAGCTGTTGTTTCACAAAGGTTCTTGACAGGATTCACTATTTCTTAGCAGCCAGGATTGGAGGTTGCTTTGCCCTGTCATGTGTRTATGGTTGACTCCAGGGAGCATAAAGTTAGGGGAATGAATATTTCAGTGAATCAYATTAACATAATGCCTTTTATGTCAAATCTAATTGGTCTAAAAACAAAGGAAAAAATATTATTTCCATGGCTCTTGATTTYGTGGGGGTCTGTCTTCTTCTCTGCCTTGTAATAGGTTTCTGTGAACTCCAGAAACTGAGTGGAGGTACAAAAGGCAGTTAAAAATGGTTACACTTCTCTGTTTTGTATATAAATGTAGTCCTTCCCTAAAATCACTCCGGTTCTGTAATATCATGTACTAGTTATCAGTCACGTAAATTACAGMTCATTAGGTAAAAAGTAGGTTAGGGTTTTGTTTTAACTGATGGCAGCACTAAAGATTAAATAAAATTGTCTATGAGTCCTTCGGTCTATTTTCTGCTTTTAGCATTACAAAGACATAATCAACAAGTGAGCAATTTTAGGATAAGGAGGTGATACAGACTAGCTGTGATGCTGAAAKCATTTCAGTGTATCAAAGGAGGAGGATCTAAAGCCTAATCTTAAAACTGCGCATATTAGGCAAAGTCGAGATCTTGATTTGTAAAATAGAGGCTGCCTCTCATATATATTTTTGCCTGACCACTAAATCTGTATCTTACAAAAGTGTCCTTGGTGTAGATACACCTATCGAACATTCTAATAGAATAACTACTTATTAATATTCTCTTGTCAAAAAGTAGCATATAGGTGTGGGTACCATGAGCACAGTGTTTGCTGAATGTTAGCTGAACCAATATGGAAAAGAAATCTCTTAGATATGTAATCATTAAATAAGGAGGTTTAGTCTATCCATCTGTGATTTTACATATGTTGTCAAATACTRAGTACAACACCCAGGGTAAGATTTCCTCTTGACTGTAATAGTTTCTTCATAAAAAGAAATATGTAGTATCTTCCCTATTGAAGGTCCAGGGAGTAGTAATAATGTAGTAATAATAAAAACAACTGTATCTCTGTGGTTAACCTCTAAGCCTCAACTCAGCAATGAAATATGCATTTCAGTGCTAGTATCATTACTGATGACAAGTGATATTTATGTTCACCATGTTATTTGGCACTGCTGAATTCCATGTTGCAAACATGCAGCCATGTCCTGACAGACTGTATTCCAGCTCAGTGTCCCTATTGCATTTACATTCCTAAATGGGGTAAAGGTGGAAGGCAATTTGTTWGCTATCGAGGTCCAAAGAAATGAGAATTTTTTGATATTGTGTTCTTTAACAAATTTTGATGTTACTTACGTAAGAGTGAATGATTATATGTAGCAGGAGGATGAGCATTCTGTTCTGTTGGGTGATCAGCCCTTCAGTGCTTCATATCCTGCAAATGTTTTCATGCCACACTCCATTCTGTGGAATTGAGAACCTTCATTATTACCTGTTTGACTAAAAGGTGAACAGAGCACAAGCTGAAATGCAAGAAATGCTCTCTCAGAGATGCTCCAAAAAAAATCCAGATCTGGTCCTGGACA